GATATCAAAAAAGTACTCCAGAGTGTTGTTCAGCATGGGGGTGAGTAGAAAATGAAGGCTAATCATGTTTTGGGTGTACTATTCCTTTAAACGCATCTGATTTCTTCTGGCAAGATGTATTTTCAGGAGTTGGTAAATTCACAGATCTCACGACAATTTATCTTGCTTGCAGGTTAAGCAACAATAGCTTACCTTAAAAAAAAAAAAAACCCACACAGAATACAGTATCTTTGAACCCAAATTCATCGACTTTATTCATCAGAATTCAACACAAAGATTTTAAAGCAAACAGTTTGTCGTTCCGTCCTCAAACGCACCATTTACAAAATGAAAAAAAATTCAAACAAACCAAACAAAAAAGCCCTCTTGGTCTGCTGAGGTATGAGGAGCATTCAACAGACAGAGAACACACACTGTAAAATCAAATGCAATACATAATTTTTTTTTTTTAAAGGTAACTTAGAGTAGAAAAACTAACTTTAGAGGCAGTGTTGTTCTTTGCATGAGAGTCACAGAATGTCCTGAAGATGGATTACACCGATCCAACAAAGAAAGATTTAATTCATATATGAAGAGCAGTGAGGAGCTGGTTTAAAGCAAAAAAATAAAAACAAAAAACAGCTGATTGCTTGAGATTGAAAAAACATGATTTGATATAAAGCAACATAAAACATGCATATCTTTCTTTTTTACATGATTTTTCCCTTGCAGTACAAATAAACTCTATAAAATGTGAGGCGACTCATTGGACTGATAATGTCAGGAAGTTAAATTCCCTGATTCTTTCTCTGCTAGTGAAACAGGGAGCAGTGATTGCATAAAATCATTAAAGCAGACATGATTTCTCCTTGAAGCAGAAAAAGTGTCAGCGACCCAAAGAGAGGTGAGATAAGCTAAACTAGTAGCGATTTTAATCAGTTTACTGCATCTTTTACATTAAAACCCAAACCACCTATGTCTACATTTACTTTGATTTTATATACAAGACATGATTAATGTGCCACATTCCTTTTAAGATGCGAAACAAATATTGTACACCTCTCATCTGCCCGCCAGGTGGTTTTAGGATGAAATAAATCACGCTTTAACCTGAGAGCACAGCTGTAAACCTGACAGCTTACAATGAGTTTAAGGTGTCGTACATGATGAGCTCTGAGGGGGTAACACCACCAAACCGGGGTTCTTCTCTGCATCATTTGATGCTTAAGCAGATAATTGATAAAGAGAGAAGATTAAAAAATGTTTTTCTGCAGCTTTAGGAAAAACCTCAGAAAATTGTGAACTGTCAATAAAAGAGTAAACCTGACATGATTATTTCATACCGTAATATAGCTGTAGCAATAAAAAAAATGTTACATTATGTGATTTGAACAGTTTAAATCTATTATATCTGACGTTTTGTGTACCATCGGGTTAACCAAGCGAGAGGATGCCATGCAAACAGAAAATGCGATAAAAACTCCACAAATTTTTTTTTTGTACGCATCCTCTGCTGCCAAAAGGTTTCTCCTTCGTTTTGAATCACACTTTAAAGTTTCAGATCATTGAGCACATAAAATGAGAAAACAAAATATATAAAAGCTGTTGTTTCCAAACCATGAATTCATCTGCTATTGAAACAAACCTCACTATGTGTGAATAAAATAATTATTAAAACCAAAATTAGGTGTGTATAATAATTTCTAGAGTTGATTCTAAAAAGCCTAAACCCAGGTCTAATTACTGCCCGGCCTGCAGCATCAAGCAATCACTTACTGCTCCCTGAATTCAGGACAACATTGGACGTAAAAGAGACGTTTTTGTTGATTTAAATATTGAGAGTAAACTAATTAAAAAGATGGAGATGTTGCCAATGATGCCAGGATGAAGAACAGAACACAGACGGATTCGAACCAAAGCTCTGAACAACCAGTTGGTCCCTGGATGTAAAGCTCCCTCACTCTTCCTCATGATGATGATTAAAATCATCGGTGCCTTCAGCGTAGCGCTCCCCAGCTCTTTCTTTGCTCCCGTCAGCATCAACCTGTAGACAGAAATGAGTGGAGATGGTGTAAAAGCTGTATATACATAAAGCTACACGGTGAATACGTGCGTGTGTTTTACATAAAGCTGCTCTTATGAGTATTTATTATTCAGTGCCTGGTGCTTGGTGCAAATTTCTTTAAAGAAGTTTTCAGATTTAAATGAGTTGTATGATAAAACTGACTTTAAGTGTCACAATGAATGATTTATTGGGATGGGTCACAAGCCTTTAAAACATTAAAAGATTAACTAAATGAATTTGCCCACATGTCATAGTTTTATTTCAACAGGAAAATCTATTTACATTTCTATTGCTTCACAATTTTAGACAAAACAAAACAAATCCAAAAATGCATTAAATGTGTTTTGATTACAAAGCAAGGTATGGTGTGTTCAACATTTCCTTTTTTTAAACTAAAGTTAGGTCCACTGGGATCTGGAATTAATTAATAGAAAAGTAAAAATTTAATGTTTAGATCATTAAAATTTGATTGACTGATTTGTTAAGAAATTGCTTTTGAATGTAGTTTATGGAGTGTCGTATTTTCCAGACTATACAAGCCACGCCCACTTTTTTTTTTTTTTTTTTACTGGAAAAGTACGTATATAAGCCACACCGGGCTATAAGCCGCTGATATCTACTGAACTGTCCCCCTCAAAACCTGTAGGGGGAGCGTTACATATAGTCACAGGAAAAGGGACAAAGAAGAAAGCTAGCTCCTGTTAGCTTATTAGCTAGCTGCAGTACGAGCTTGTCACCACCCGATCCGTCCCGAAAGCACGATCCGTTCTGCGCATGCGCCATCAGCTCATTTGCGCATCCAGATATACATCGGGGTCGTCCTTGATTTTATTTTAACAATACCTAAATGATGTTTTCCCTCCCCTAAAATAGAAAACGTACGAATATATAATGTAGTAAAGGTTAATAATGTATTTTCTGACAAAAAAAGATTTCTTAAATTCTGTTTTATCACTCGTCTCTTCCCAATCTGCACCGGAAACAGGATCCTACGCTGCTTCCGGTGGCTAACTTTTACAGCTTTGAATTTAAACATAAATCCTCTCTTTTTCTATGCTTTCATTTCGTTTTAACCTTATGCTATATATTACGTAATCTAAAGAAAGTTGTGGTCTACTTAGATTTTGCTGCACTGCTCTGAGCATGTCTGATGATGACGTCAGAGAAGCAGTTTAACCAAGAAAATGTAAAAAGCATCAAAATTGTCTCACAAATGTCATAAAACATTTTTTTACAGATGTGCATTAGTATTTCTTAGTGAGTTAAAGATAGAAATAAGTAGTTTTAGTACCATAATTACATTATATATGGACACCCAGATGTAAATCTATTCGCGTATGCGCAAAATGGATCGTGCTTCCTGACAGATCGGGTAGTGACAGAGCTTCTAATAAAAGATGGGGCTTAGTGAGCTCTTTATTTCAGCTCTGCAGGAGTTGTGCATAGTCTCCTCATTGGTTCAGCAGCTTTATTGCGGCAAATAAATGTCAAAATGTGTGAATTTAGGACATTTGTTCTCTGTCGTGCCTGCTGCTAGCATGTTCTTGTGCTGAATGACAATTAGCCTCTTATTCTTTAATTTCCAACTTTGAATTCCCATTCTGGTGAAAAATTAACAGAAAACCTGCACCTTCTTGGCAGATTACTGGTTTTAATGGTTTTAAGAAAGGCTGATTCTGAGGAGCTGGAGGAGAAAATCTTGGTTCAAAACGTGGGGAAAAAAGTAGCGTCTTATAGTCCGGAAAATACGGTATTTGATTCGTTTGTTTTACCTTGAAAAATGTCAACTCACTCTTTCTAACCATTTGGCTCTATCGAGGATATTTCAACAGAAGGACTACCTGTAGTAATACAGTTAAATAAGTAAAAATCATGTTTGTTTGTTAGCAGAGCACATACATCCACCAAAATCCGCCTCCTTTCCCACAACACCGAGGGGGGAAAAAAAAGGACAGGTCATTTTCAGCCTCAACCATCATCAACTTATACGGCCAGGTTGAGACATCATTAAGTTCAGGGTAAGACTGGACTTTCTAATTCTTTATACTCGGATAGAGTGCAGTGCTAGTAGCCCATTCAAGGTCTACAAAAGATGGAAATCACTATAGCAACCGGTGTCTCTGGTGCTCTACTTTTAATAAGGTTAAATGACAGTGATTTAGTGCTGCACTGTAGATTTTTCTCTTTGTTTTATTACAAAAAGTTGGTTTTAGTGTTTCTAAATGAGCTTTCTACTTGTATTATAGGACTCCATGGCATTTGCTTGTTGCAGACTGAGAATCCTCTGAAGCATAAGATTTAATTCAATCACACTTCAAACGCCTCCCAGATATCTGCGCCATCATCTGTGCTGCAGGCTGCAGCTCATTTCCTCTGAAGGAGCCATTTAAAAGCTTTAATTGTGCCTCTAATTTCCCTGGTTTCCTGATCCCCACCCTGATCCCAACACACAGCCGTACGTGCGTATTGCCCTCATGAGCTCATCTGACTTCTGCCGCTAATCACACAACTGTTACAAGAAGCGTAAATGCAATCAGTGCCTCGACTTATTCCAAAGAATAAAAGAAAACACAAAGGCCCTCTGCTCTTAACCCTTTATAGGCCACTCAGTGAAATACTTTGAAAATGAACATTTCAAGCCGATAGTGTTATTGGAATCCAGGAAAAGACCTTATACGTTTGTAACATTAAAAAAATATTGATATTCTGATGGCAAAAAATAATGTCAATGTAATAACAAGAAACGGCAACTTGCCTGAATATATTAAGAATAAAAACAAAAGTGCTTCTATAAGAAATTCCTGAAAAAAAGTGAAAGAAACACATTTTTTTGGTCCAAGATAACCTTAGAGGCATTAATGCTGATACATTTTTAGTATATAAACCTACATTTAATTTTTAATAAGGCTTATAAACTTTTTAACTTTACTTTTTAAAGTTTTCAATTAGCTTTTTTTTCTTGACTTGTTAACTTTTTCTTCCAACTTGATCTACAGTAGGTAATATATCGTTCAAGGGCTCTTCTAATTAGTCAAATGCCAAAATGAGATGTAGAGCCATGTAGCAGCGTCTTTGCTGAACAGATGGATATAGATCTTGTGCTTCTAGACGTCACTGAGAGACGGGGGGGATTCCATTTGTAGTATGCAAGTGTTCAAAAACACTAACTTGCCCTATAAAGAGGTAAGATTAATAATATTTTTTTCTTCAATGCTGACGTCTTAAACCTAAATGTTGCCAGCGAGTAAAACGGATAAAGATGAGTCATTGGAAAAAAAGGGCGGCCGCAACTAATCGTCTCTACCAAAGTGTCATGAAAGGGGTTATGTGGGGGTCAGATCTGGTCTGGTAGAGATGAAGCCTTTGATGAGGACTGGATTCTTCAGCAGAACATCAACTCCTTTTTTGGAAAAGCTGCTGCCTTAACAGATAGGAGCTATTTTAGACTCGGCAGAGAAAAGTGAAGCAGCAGCTGAAAACAACAAGACTTAGTCTTAATCTAAAGCTGTTTTTA